GACGCACCGAGTGGGTATATAACGTATTATTAGTACTTATATATATAGTGTAAATATAGGAACGCTTATTTACTATAGTATACACTCTACCAGTACTATTATAACCTAATACTCTATGAAGCGCCTAAACTAAGTATATAGTATATGATATATTCCAGTGATATATCTAGTATATAGCACGGCTCAAGTAATATATATATAGCCTCATTAATATATGACTATGTGCGACCTTTGTGTTTGTGTGTGCTCTCCAAAGCAACGCTGTAGGTGTGTGTTGTGTGTTTGTGAAGAAAAGAAACCGCATGCAAACACGGTTGTTTGTGTACTGGTATTCATGTAATGCAGTGTATATATATATTTAGTTGTATACTCACATACATACGTATTCACCATGCAATCAGTTATATATGTGTACCGCTATCACGTATACAACGTATATTCTAACCTAAATTATAACTAACGGGCGCGGCACCTTAGTATACTATATATATACTATAAACACTAATAAGGTACTAATATCATATAACATCATAATTATTGCTAGAAACCGTTTATATATGTAAGCAAATAACTCATATACACTAATTATACACGTAAAGTATATTTATATATAATATGAATATAATAAAATAATGCATATGTTTGTGTTTTGAATGCAGTCCACGCATCTCATTTATAAACACTCAATATTGATACAGATTGATTGCTAGAATCACATTGTTAAAGGAAGACAGCATATGAAATATATAAATGTCACCAATATATTGTACACAATCATACATCTAAAATCAGCTTCTGTGTGCGTGGAATAAGCATGCAGGATGTTGTAAACGTTGCCAAAATAAAACGACAAACGATATAACGATCCGGAATTTTTTGCAGTTGAATCCCGTGTAAGATTACCACACTGTACAGACACAATCGCTTATAATTCATTGAAAGGTCATATTCAGTGCAACTGTTAAGAAATACAAGAGCTTTTAAGTATTAGGTTAATAGATTTCCTCGTCATGCATGAATAATCATCGTTAAAAAAATGTGCATGTTATTAAAATTTAATTATGATTCAAAAAGGAACCGTCATATTTTATCTGGCAACACACATATTGAATAGAATATACATACAATAATTTAAATACACCATCCATTATACACAATTTATAACTGTATACCACTCACAATTATGTATGTGTGTGTGCCGTGAATATGATTAACATATATATCATCATAAATACTAACTCCATAATATATAACTACTAATACGTGTGTCATTTAGTAGTAAGATAGTACATAGAATTGAAATTCTTATTAACTCATAGTATGTATATAAACACGTATAATAATATGTAATACTATAACTATATAGATAAGATAATCATATCTTAATTAGGTATTTATATATATTTTATGAGAATAATATGGCTATATCACTTATAATAATGAATAATATTATATATACCTCAATACGGATAAAACTACATGAATAAAATATACACACACACACTTATTATATAGATGTTAATATATTATAATCATGATTACTACCACTTATTACACACTAAATACTATATAAGCACATATATATAACTAACTAGTACTAAATACAATATCAATATTATATATATAACAAACACAAACCAGTCTATACATATCAATCTGTTATAATATGCCTATATTAACTATAATTAGTATAATCGGTAAGTAGTAATTACATATTATATCGTACCCAGTGAATATATTAATCCAGTATTATTATATATTACATCTACTATTATATATGTACATCAATACAAAAACAAAGTTCCACGATCGAATTTTACATTTACATACATATTTATACTTTACCTACGCAGCACACACATCTACACACACACACACACAGACACACACACACTACATCATCGACACACACACTATACACACCACACTCACAACAAACACACACACACAATTATTGTATATGCTTATAAGTATATATATATTCCCCCAAAATATTTTATATTATATAAACAATGCTCACAAACAGCCATGAAACAAAAAGTATACTATAAAAATATTATACAATAAATACTTATATCACCGTAATTAATGAGTACTAATTATACATATATTACATCAAAATACTGTATATACTAAGCATCTAACATAGCTAAGTAGTTTCTCACTATATCACCAGTATAAATAGCGTAAAATATTAAACCAGACTAATCACTGAGCCTGTACCCCAACTACCAAATATACAGTTGCCTAGTAAGTATATTAACAGCATAATACATAAATTTACTATGGCACCGTATATAGTGAAGTATTATTAGCTCCTTATATATATAATAGTATAAATCACGGTCAACTGTATATTATAGTACATAATACGATATATTAATATATTATATATATTATATATTCAATAATTTCACTAAGTACTAGCTTATCGCCTATATAATATAATATATAATATATATATATATGGTATATAAACATATACATAGCATAAATTACTGCAATGAGTATGATGCTATACTGTGGGAAGAACAGTGTATATCACTTATACACTATGCTCTAGTAGTCCATAGTTAGTATCTATAATATTATATATAATATAATGATATAAAAATAATATACACTTGGTTCAATAACGTATAATATTACAGTAACATAAACATAAAATGAACTACAATGTAGTACTCTAGGTCATAGCTAGTGATATGTAAAATATAAGTATAAAATATAGGTCATAATATATAATATATATATATAAATATAATAAAGACTAATAATTTATAAATAATATACTGATTATATTCGGTCATTGTAAGGTAACCTATAAATATAATTTTCCCGTGAATACAGCATTTTGATCTTAATCATATAATCACACTTACAGGAATTTATTCTCTGAGATGCATGTTTTAACAATAGCCCAAAAATATACAACAAAATCAATTTAATGCATTCCTTTCTGTATAAAAAACGACATTTATATGATATACACAATAAACATCAAATTGAACATGACTGAAACAATTAATTACGAACAATGAAGAAAAGATCCTGTCATAGAATGTACATAAAAGCTTATACCATTATCCACTTGTCCAAAGCGGAGTAACAATGTATCTACACCAGGATATTTTGGACACAACATGGAAGATATCTATAACAAAATTACTTTCTTTTCTCAAATAATGTGTACTCGGTCAATTTGCAGAAATAAATGTGATTGTAATAGATTCCA